TCTCTTAAGGTGATTTTATGTGATCTAGGGACAAGATTCGCCAATGCGTTGCGCTGGTATTCGGATTGTGTCCTTGAGAAGCAATAATTATCGTTACGTGCAAGTTAAAGCAAGAAACTGATCCACAACGTGTAGCAGCATTGATACTGAGTAGAATGTCACATCAAATTTGTTAAAATTCATTGTGAAATACCTGAAACTGTGATAACGGGCGTTGTACAGAGGGTCGAGTCTACGGGAGAGGTCGGACGAAATTTGGAAACTGTAAAAGCTTATAACTCCGTTTATACAAAAGTTTGAAGTTCTGAAAGTGGTTTTATTGGTTTTCCGTGAAATTTTCTTCAAGAAACACCCCTTATAGTTGAAAATGCGACGAAATAAACATAAAAATGTGTAGTTTTAGTCAAAACTTTCATGTCCGACCTCTCCCATCGACTCGATCCAACGTGCGTCGTCCATTGACTCAATGTGTAAGAGAGAGATAGCTATAATGACTCTAATACTGCCGTGCCAAGGAAGAACGCCGTATGGACATTCAAGAGTTGCCAAATTTCCCTCGATAAAACATGCATTTTTGACAACGTTTATGCATATTTTCCTTGAAATTGTCTGATACTTCAGATTAAATTGCGTACAAAATCGTCCGAAAATTTTGGACAATAATTTTCGCAAATTTCCCAATAAACTTGTTTTGTATCGCAGGAAACTTGGCAACGTCTGAAGGCTCATACGGCGTTTTTCTTTGGAACGACAGAATAGGCCCGTTTTTTCAGCTAGATTTCATTTTGGGCTGAATACAAACTTCTAACTCAAATGATATCTCGCAGTATGACGACCACGCGTTCCACATGAAGTATTCTCGATAAAACAACGTTTTGTGGTATCGACGATCTAAGTGTTTAGTGGTACGTTGGTGCAGCACTTAGGAATGTCCCATGTGCAATTGCAGTCGCTGAAAATGTCCGATCCGAAAAAGTTTCTGCAAACGCCGGCTTTCCTAATTGCATTCATTTGTCGGAGCGGGACCTTTCTCAATCCTTCCGAGAGACTCGAACGCATGGTGATAAAAGTAGAGCAATAAAACACCCCCTCTCTGAACCGCGGCTAGTGACAAGAGGACTTAAGGGCTTGGTCTCGTGACGAAACTGACTGGCCCCGGCGCAGCCGCGTCTAGCCTAGGCCTAGACCGGCCCGCTCATAATCATAACATCGATATTAGTACTCGGCAATTGAACGTATTTCTGCCGAACGGAACTATGTGCGTTATAACGTGAGCCCTGCTATGCGTATATTCTTATGGGTATCAGGGCTCATGTCTGAATGCACTTAGTTCCGTTTGGCAGATACGTCCAATTGTTCGGCTCAGCGTTGCCAATTAATCATCGCAGGACACTGATTGAAGGCCCAGCGTCCCGTTTGCATTTTAAAGATCGCTATGATGCTTTAATGATCGAGTGATCGAATAAATGTCCTCGTTTAGCTCACTATAATATCCATGGCCAAAGAGGAAAACCACGTATCTTCATTTCGACGCTTTACGATATCTCCTCCTATTTTAATTAATCAACGAAAAAAAAAACCAACTTTGGGGCTGGACCTTCGTGAAGAATACTCTGCTAACACGAAAGAAAAATCCGCGGAGTTTTCAAGGTATCAAGTTGACTATAGTTTTTCAAAGAAAAAATGAAGTATGACGGGAAGTCGTCAACGTCGCAAACGAAGATACGCGGTTTCGCACTTTTGCCATCTGTAAACAATTGACCGAGTTTTACAGGAGCTAACTAAGTCGCATTTTAGGTTTAAAAATGAGTATGATGGATGATTCAAGTATAGTGGTGACTTTTCTCATGAAACTCAAATTGGTGAGCAACGTTTTGAACGTGAAAATGGTTGTTAAACGTCGTCCTTCAAATTGTGTTCTACGGAAGTATAAAATTTCAAACAAAAAAAAAAATTCTTGGTTACATTTGATGCGCTTTTGGTGCGTTTTTGTTAAACTCGTTTCATTTCTTCCGGATGGGGCTTCGCTTTTCCGTGTTCACCGAGGATAGGATATGTTACATTTGAAAGTCACATATTCAGCAGAGTATTAAATATGCTGCAGCAACCATTTGAAGAAGTATCGTTAACATATTACACGGTGCCTTGTGTATCGTTGTCCGGATCTACGAAGCCAAGACGGCTTCATTTCTACTAATATGAAATGGACCGAGTTCACCAGAAAGGAACCAACCCACATTAAGTTGAAACCGAGGAAAAGAGGTTTGAAGTTTTACTCCTGCATGAGGCTCAACGTAGAAAATAAACTTCAATCCCTCTTTTCACAAACTAATTTCTTTTTTTCGGCCTCCAGATTTCGGCAGGAGAAAACAAACGGTTAGTGGAACTCAAAAACATTCTGAACTCAATTTTTTTCGAAAATGCGGGTTGTTTCCTTTCTGCTAAACTCAGTCTGAATGCGGAAATCCGTTGAGCACGAACTGTTGTATCAAGGCGTAATTTGGTCACAAAGCTTTCTCGTCTTCGACTGAAAAGTGCCGCCATAGCATTTTTCTGATGACTTTTTAGGGTACCTTTTGGACTTATCGCACGAGTTGGCAACCGTGTGGACGTAGGCTCATTGACTCTGATGGAGTTGCCATTGACCAAATATCCCTGCCTCCGTTAGCGTCAGCACGGTGGCAACGAGTGCACTCGTCAACGCGGTGCGTCACGCCAGAACCACGTAACTTTACCTCAATTCCCGAGCAGATAGGCGGTTTCAGTTTAGCGCGGTAGTACGCACCCGCTGATTACCAGGAACCTGACCGCGCGGCCCCGGCCCTGCACCAGCTTCTCCCCCTCCCCCCACGANTCCTCGAGGACAGGATCTGTTCCACTTGAAAGTCAGATATTCAGCAGAGTATTAAATATGCTGCAGCAACCATTTGAAGGAGTATCGTTAACATATTACACGATGCCTTGTGCATCGTTGTCAGGATATACAAAGCCAAGACGACTTCATCTCTACTAATATGAAATGGACCAAGTTCATCAGGAAGGAACCAACCCACATTGAGTTGAAACTGAGAAAAAGAGGTATGAAGTTTTACCCGTGCATGAGGCTCAATGTAGAAAATAAACTTCAACCCCTCTTTTCACAAACCAATTTCTTTATTTCGACCTCCAGATTTCGGCAGTAGAAAATAAACAGTTAGTGAAACTCAAAAACATTCTTAACTCAACTTTTTCGAAAATGTGGGTTGGTTCCTTTCTGCTAAACTCAGTCCAAATGCGGAAATCCGTTGAGCACAATCAGTTGTGTCACGGTGTTAGGTCGCGAAGCTTTCTCGTCTTCGACTGAAAAGTGCTGCTATAGTACTTTTCTTATGACTTTTTGGTGTATCTTTTGAGCTTTTCTCTCAAGTTGGCAACCGTGTGGACGTAGGCTCATTGACTCTGATGGAGTTGCCATTGACCAAATATCCCTGCCTCCGTTAGCGTCAGCACGGTGGCAACGAGTGCACTCGTCAACGCAGTGCGCCACGCCAGAACCACGTAACTTTACCTCAATTTCCGAGCAGATAGGTGGTTTCAGTTTAGCGCGGTAGTACGCACCCGCTGATTACCAGGAACCTGACCGCGCGGCCCCGGCCCTGCACCAGCTTCTCCCCCTCCCCCCCCCCNCCCCGCGTAGCACGGTCACGCCCTTAATCAAGTACCCCTATCCACCCGAAGTTGCCAAACAGTGGCATCTTTGCAGCTGCATTTTTGTGCAGGAGGCAATTTTTTTGGAGTTGAAACATCTTGTGGGGAGAGGGTCCAAAATACCTCAAATAATACATCAATACCGACCAAAACCCGTTCAAAGGATCAAATTTTCATGTTCAGAAAAAAGAGTAGCCTAAGCAAGTATCCCTATCCACTCGAAGTTGCCCAGCAGTGGTGTCTTTTCAGCTAAATTTTGGTTTACGGGGCATTTTTTTTTTTTTGGAATGGAAAGAGATTATCGGATTAGGCTCCAAAATACCTCAAATGATGCATCAATACCGACCAAAAAACCTTTGAAGGATCAAATTTCCAAGTCCAAAAAAAAGTATCTAATCAAGTATCCCTATCCACCGGTAGCTGCCGAACAGTGGCGTCTTTTCAACGAACATTTTGTACAAGAGCAGTTTTTTTTCTGGAGTGGAAAGAGGCTATCAAAAGGGTTTCAAAAAACCTCAATTAATGCACCGATACCGACCAAAGAGCCTTCGAAGGATCAAATTTTCAAGTCCAGAAAAAGAGTAACTCAATCAAGTACCCCTATCCACCCGAAGTTGCCAAACAAACGGTGTCTTTCAGCTGCATTTTTGTACAAGAAGCAAATATTTGGAGTGGAAGAGGCTGTCGGAGGAAGTTCCAAAATATCTCAAATAATTCACCAATATCGACTAAAAAACCTTCAAACCTTCAAATTTTCAAGTCCTGAGAAAAGACTATCTTAATCAAGCACCCATATCTACCCAATGTCGCAGAGCAGTGACATTTTGATTGCAACTACATTGTTCGAGTTTTACTCGCATAGATGCATCTAAAGGACCTGTTTTCCCCCTCCCCCAAAAAACCCGTAAATATACCCCTGAGAGATATCTGTACTCCTCAGAACCCCTAACGAACGGGGCCAAGGGAAGATTCGCACCCCTCGTTCGAGATGTATGGATCCGCCAGACATTTTGAATGACATTTCCGCTGTCAGTGTTTACTGTAGGTCGGTAAAATTTGTCCTTTTTATGATGCTATGTTAAGGATCTACTTTAACCTCCCTTAATCACACTAAAAACCACTTGAAGCTTTTCAAGAGGAGGAGCTTTTTCAGGAACGACTATGAGTACGGCCCAAGGTGCTTTTGAACTTTGATAAAGCGATTGTGAAAGTCGAGCCCCGAGGGAGCCTTTGTTCGCGAGACAGACGATTGATTTCTTATCAAGGTTGGCAACCGTGTTATGATGCTGAACCGCACTTGACGGACACTGTTACATTTAAACGGGCTCGCCCTATGCACCTATATATACGGGCGACAGGTCGCAATCACCACAAAGTCTTTTGTGGGTTCAGCAAATTTTATCGAGCAGCCAAGTAATTACGCCGGATCCCGCGATGTTCTCCTCTGTAAGTCTCTAACTTTCGTCAAGTGTGTGTTTTTCTATTTTTTTATCACAAATTTCGTGAGAAATTTTATCATTTTCGAAAGTGCAAGTGCTGTGAAATAACGGATACGCTGGGAAGTGCAATGCGTGGGCAACCACCCACCGGTCAGTTACCCTTTTTTGGGGTTGTGTCGAAAATCCAAGAGTGCTTCTCCAAACGAGTTCGCTCATACTGCAATGGAGAATTTGCTCACAAATTTTTTTATTGCTTCATCTGAGTGTGCTTAAGGGGCTGAGTTCGCGGTATTTTTCATAATTTTTTTCTGGAATGTGAAACTGTAGAAAAATAGATCGGAAAAAGAGAAAATTTGCCGCTTTGTGACGTCATCCGGCGGCATTTGCTATTTAAACACATGCATTTCAGCAGATTAGGTTATTTTGTGATATTTCCTTCAATTTAGAAACCAAGAATATCTTCTTACTCAGTTCTCCCAGTAATGTCATTTTACACATGTAATTGACAAAATTTCAGACACGTGCAAATTCTCCGTTCTCCGAGTCCGATAAGCTTATGAATCAACTTGAGAGGGTTCCTTACTTTCTCCTCGGTAACCATATAAATATTTGTTCTTTTTTCCCGTATAAGTTTGGAAAATCCCTGGCATCTCACGATGGTTCGAAACAAATTTAACTAAAAAGACTGATTTATTGTCTTGAAAAAAATCGGATAATCGCCTAAAATTCAAGCAGAATGTTTTCGTCAACATTTTAGAACCGTATTCTAAGGTGTTCTTTAAACAACCTCTCTCTGTAGGTAGTGCCCATGTGATATGCACTGTTATACAGGGTGGTTTGTAGGAAGCCTTTAACTTAGCAACACAAAAAGTTCAATTTTTTACGTGCTTAAATAAAGTTCAATGCAACAGCTCTAGAAGTAGATCCTTTCAATGGATCACAATAATTTTTTATTTAAAACATGCAACTAAAATACAAAAGAAAAAATATTTTGGATTTTGAATATTTTAAAGCAGATACTTAAATATCAAGAAACTGATCAAAATCATAGAATTGTTTTATTGTAATAATTACCTTTCATTCGTACCTACCGCAAATCAGTTTAATCTCTTGTAGGGATATATTGCAGAAGTTATACCGTTGAATGTTACGATAGTACGAGGAACATTTTTCATTAACACGATGCTACGTTTCAGGTCCCCTTAAAATCTCCTTTGTTTACTTTGTAAATCGTGAGGCTTTTTCAGGGAGAGGAGTAGTTTACGAAACGACTCTCGATTCTGTTTTAATTGTTGAAGACTAATTGCATTGGACGCATCATCTTGAACTGATACTCAGAGTACCATAATCACAACAAAATATTCCAAAAATATCCTGAGGGGAGAGAGTAAATTCGAATTAATGTTCATCCAATTACATCGGACATTTATTTCCTTTAACCCACACAAATAAGGAACGTGAATTCCTCGAAGTGAAATTAATATCCATATCTTTTCGTTACGTTAAGACATTCTAACTAATTTTACAAAAAAGCGGAACATGTTTACACTGAGAAAGTATGGTTTGAGGCACAGTGATACGAGTATGGTAACCACCAACCGACTCTATGGTAGCAAATACAATAAATCCAATCGCATTCATCAAAAGTATGGTTAGTACTACCAGATATCTGGTTTTTTTCACCCTACAGTATCGTTGTTTCAAAAATCAAGAAGACCTATGATAGACTTTACCCCTTCCCATACTTCTGGTAAAATTTGCCATACTTTTTTTGACTGTGCCTTTTCATCTCTGTCCATTCACATTTTCGATGAATACGACCATAACGGTATTTACAGTATTCCAGTGTTGTCAAGTTTAGACTTTGTCCGGAGGTGGCTACCGCCACCCATGATAAATTTTTTCACGACTCACCAATTTATTGTAAAGTACTGAGTTCTGGCTCGGCGACTTAATTCACGTAACAATGAATATAATTATAAAATCATTCTTCATCGGGACTGATATTTTAGCTCGATAAAATGTTTACTTAAAAATATGACCTATCATCAAAAATAAGCCATAGACATTGTTACGGTACCAAGAAAAAAGAGCCAAAGGAGAGTTTCCACTTTGTTCTGAAAATTATAATCCGTTCCCACACCTGACTGTAAATAACATTTCCTGTGAATTTGTGTTTGTGACGATTGGCTTAAATTTCGCTCAGAGCACTTTAGCATCTCTTTAGTCAAAGTTTGCGCTAAGGTGGAAACTTAATTGTTCAGTACAGCGAAAAAACTCGGTACGGGGTCAAAAATACACTGAAAAAAAAAGCAACTTGGATCAAGCATGATAATTCTTGAATTTGCCGCCAAGAATTTTCTTTATCTTGCTTTAAGCTGACTTTTTCTTGATTCAAGAAAAATAATGCTTGGGTTAAGCAAAAAAGTAGCTTATATTAACCAGCAAAATTCTTGGTTTAAAAAGGAATACTTCTTGGTGGCAAATTTAAGATTCTTTTTTTTCCAGTGTATAGATTTTCAATCTTCGGTGCTTAACACTTGTCAACATTTTCAAGGACTTGGGTCAAAGTTTCAAACCATAATTTTCACTATTAATGAAGTTTTAATTTAATCATTTCTTTTCTTCCTTTTCTCATTTAAATCATTATTTGCCTAGCTCCGTCTCAAACATTTTTCAAAGTATCACAAATCAAAAATACTTAGTTCTAATTTTGAAATGTAAATTACCACTTTTTGAGATAATAAAGTATTGTTTAAGCGACAGCAATATTACTATAGTCACCAACAACGGACTCTGTGGTCGCAAAGGCCCTAACTTTGATCACATTCACCAAAAGTGTGCGATGATGAAACTGCAGAAATGCGTATCTCGGTATGCGGCGCGGCGCTGCAGACTCCCCGTCATACTTTATTTTCTACGTGACAGACTACCAGAATTCATTTCTTGAAAACCTCTGTGATTTTTATCCTCTGTATGAAGAATATTCTCTGAAAATTTCAAACCATAATTCTGGTAGGGTTTCCCCTTTAAAACACATTAAGTATGAGCGGGAAACTCTGCAACCGAGTTGCACGTGTTTGCTGTTTTACCATCGTAAGGTAAATGCTACCAGATGTCCAGTGAACTTTACTATACAGTACCACTGTGTCAAAAATCAAGTCGACTAATCACCATAAATTCTGGATGTCGGAGTTTTTTAGCCAACGTGCGTTAGAAATTCAGCTTAAAGCTGACATCTCAATACAGAGGAAAAAAGCCCACACACAATTGCTTGTGCTGCACATTGTGCCTCTGTGTGAGCTTTTTCCCTCTGTATTGAAATATCAGCTTCAAGCTAAATTCCTATCGCACGGCGCCGGCTGAAAAACTACAACATCCCGTCTTACGGTCCATACGTCCACCGCAATCACTTTGTGTTAACCATAAATTCTGGTGGAAATAGCCTTATAGTTTTTCTCAGTGTAGAGCTGTCGTATCTCCTTCATGAACTATTTCCGAGGTCAGTGCACTGAAAAAAATCTCGGTGTATTTACTAAGAAAAGGGTAAAATTACCAAGAATCCAGGGTTCTATTTGACCCCAGTTTTCCTTGGTAAAATTGCCATTTATGGGATTGGTAATTTTACCGAGAAATCTTGGTAAAATTATTGAACTTTCTCCGTAATTTTACTGGACCTTGGTAAAAACGCCAATATTTTTTATCGATTGTGGTAGAAGTACCGAGATAAAATGGCAAAGTTACCGGGAATTGATTACCAATAAAAATGGTATTCTTACCTGAAAAAACAGTAAAAATACCGATTTTTAGGTAAGCTTACCAGTCTGTCTTTGTAAAATTACCAATAATTGGTAAAAAAAGTGACATGGTAAAGATACCAACGGACCTTGGTAAAAACGCCGAGAATTTTTTTTCAGTGTGGGGTTCTCATGCTTTTAGCTCGGAACAAACCCTCGCATTAAAGTACTGAATATTTAAATTTTATAAAATTTATATTATTGATAAATATTATTGTAGATCTAATATCCTGTTCTTGCCCACAGCTATCAGTGTTCTCCATGGTGCTGGCCGCCGCCACCGCCGTCTACGCCCCGGTCAAGCCTGTCGCCTACCACGCTCCCGTCGTCGCCGACCCTTACTACGACCCCAACCCCGCCTACAACTACGCCTACGACATCAACGACCCCACCACCGGAGACTCCAAGTCCCAGCACGAATCCAGACAAGGCGACGTAGTCCAAGGTAGCTACAGCCTCACCGAGCCCGACGGCAGCCGCAGAACCGTGGACTACACCGCCGACCCCGTCAACGGTTTCAACGCCGTAGTCCACAAGGACACCGTNTAAAACGATTAAATGAACAAGAAACCAGAGAAAACTGGTTTTAAAAAACTCATACATAGATCCTTCTTTTATACAACATTGCAATACGGTGGGTGTTTTTCTTAAGAATTTAAACTTTCAGCTAAAGAATATGATTTATCAATTTAAAAAGTCGAGTGATACATTTTAATCCGATGATACGACTATCTTGGTTTTCAAACCTATACTTTAGTTTGCTTTTGCTCAAATCTGATGTAAATACTAATTTTCAAAATTATGGTATGTGGAAGGCCGTATTGCTCAGAAGTGATTTGTTACCAAGAAAAAATTCAATCTTTCTCGGGCAATTCCTACCGTATAGCCTCAGAATTAAAGTTCTAACACGCACATATTTCTGCCATAAAGTTGTATTCACAGTCGAAATTTTTCGTTTCATTCTATATACTTTTATTTAACTAGGTTTATAAGAATGTGATTTTCGTTTGCTCACTATCGTAAGATTCCTATTTGATATGATTTTTATGTTTGTCTTACTTTAATTGAATATATGTTGAGTGAACTTGTGAAGCTTGTTCACAATTTGTGCTATGCCCCTGGAAATTAATATGATTTTATAAATTATTGAAATTTCACCACTAATTTAAATAGTTTGTTTTCTTTATCCATCATCCCAATATCCGCGACAATAATGAGAGTACTTTTCTCACGGAATTTTACAACTAGAGTGGTGCTAAGACCCCTAGTTCTAATAATTGAATCTTCAAGACCCTTGGAAACTTCTTTGGACCCTAAAGATTTGCCAAGTTTTTTTAAAACAATGAGTATTTGAGAATTTCACTCCTCAAACCAGAATAAGCATCCTATTTTTAAATTCGATCTTCATTTTGCAAACAATAATAACGTGAAATAGTATCTCAGTGCAGAAAAGATCGTAATTCTTCCTTTAAATAATTATGATTTTTTGAGAACAAAATTCTTTAAAGTTTGAATGGAAAAAGAAGGATTATTGGATAATCTTGGATAATTACTTTTGGAGGTAGGGCATGAAGATTCGTTGACATTACTTAAAGAGTTGTATTCATAGTCACTCCTCAAACAACTCTTTTTCAGTGAGGAAAGTCCCATAAACACTTTAAATACCTGTGAAGAAAAGACGTTTAAGGGTATATTTCATATATCATCATAAAATGGACAATACTTGTAACTTTAAAGTGAAATTCAACAATTCCACGTTGGAAATGGATCCTTGCAAGGCATGAAACTGGAAACCCCGCGCCAAAGCGTGAAATGTACAAAAGAAGAAATTATATGATTGTGATTGATTCTGATGTACGTTCGGATTTCCCTTTAAAATTTGCAAAACGCATAATATATTTCCTTTTGTATTTTGTATTATTTACACAGCAAAATCAATATTCCCGTCTGAGGCTCCATTTCTTAAGGTTAACCACCGAATTTTACGTGTGGTTCGCAACAATTAGAATTCTTTTGATGCAATGTTCAAGGTTTACTTAAAATTTCCTTTAATTACAGAGTGAGCCATATGGGTCCTCGGTAAGGAAAATATCTTCCTAAGGAAGTAATCTGAATACAGCACTCGAAAAAAAAACACATTGGATCTAGAGTCCAGACTCTTAAAAACATCAACAAGAAAAAGTACTCTTAATTCAATCAGAATCTAGCTTAAATCAAGAATCAAGCCTCTTAATTCAAGCGGATTTCGTTTTTATTCAAGCAAAAATCCGATTGAATCAAGAGTATTTTTTCTTGTCAATGTTTTCAAGAGTCTGAACTCTAGATCCGATGTGTTTTTTTTTTCCAGTGAGTCTTGACTCTTCCTCATCCCTCCCAGTTTCATACCTGACAAAATTTAAAAATGTAATCAACATAATATCTTTTTTGTGACATACATCCTGAATGAGAATTCCTCCGACAAAATATACCCCTCAAGCGCAGCCATGAATCGTAATTTCAGCAATAAAAGGGTCACCATATGTATCTTTTTTTTTTTTTTTTTTTTTTTTTTTTTTTTTTTTTTTTTAAAGTTTATTAGAAATAACCTAACTAGAGGTTCGGAAATAAAGTCGGAAAGCACATCGGATCCGACAACCCGCCTGCCCGTTGGCGAATACTCGGGGAATCACTGTATATTCGATAATGTAATAGATCAAAATCAAATACAGTTGGCCACACTATCATATATGACTTGTGTTCTCTACGAAATCTTTACTAGAATCTGTGGCAGAATTTTCGAGATAACTGTTTTTCATCCATTTGAAAAATAAAAGTCATCACGCGCGATTGCATGCAACATTTTTTGAAGAATTATACCAGCGACCTGTTCTCAAAAGCACTGTTGATCGTAAGTTACTTAAGTCAATGTTCATCTTAAAATTGTACTTGTTCAATACTATTCTTGGTTTGTGGAAGGAATGGAATAGCAGTAACTGGTCGATTTGCTTTTCACAAATATTTTTCAGTAATTGACGTTTAACAGTTGATTCATTTATTTGTTTCAGGTAAGCAGTCTCTTCATTATGCGCAGCTGAAATTCAAACCTGGTGGACCCCTTGCATACGTAAGTTAGCCTGCATTGTTCTGCAACTTCAATAGTCACGCGTGTATTTCATTACTTTCATCATAAGTATGTACAGTTTCAGCTCTGATAGTCTAACCCCTTAAATTAAATAGGTATATGTATAGGACCTTCACTCAACAAAAACTGCAACGGGTTCTTCGTATTTTTAAAATTTAGCACTCGTACCATATCACTGTATTTAATACGATTAGTAAAAGATTATACTGATAATTCCTTAAAATAGACGAATGACGTATGTTTTAGAATGCGCATTTCACACCTCACTGTTTATTTAATCTAATATTTTCAGAAAGTCCTCAGGGGTGCAAAACATTTTTGACCACGCCACCGGGCGGGTTTCAAACTGTCGCGTGTGAAAATAGGAAGACCCCGACAACGGTGTTTTGAAATGGGAAAGCCGGCAAAATTGCGTATTTTTGCAAAAACGTGCGTCAGTGTTTTTCGTAAAATGCGGTAAATATCACGTGTTTTTTTGCATAATAACGGCAGTTCATACGTGCAGAGTCATAAAAAAGTCATCCTCATGCAATTTCTGAGGAGTAAGAGGTTTTAAAATGGGATTGCCAATTTGAAAAATGGCAAGGCTAAGAACTTTCTAGGTCCCTGAAAAGTCCTATCGAGACCTACCAATCCTACTAAATTTAGTTTTTTCGGTGGCGATTGATGGTAATTTTTTACTATATTATTGTAAACTGCAATGTAGTCACGGTACAAATACAGAGGCTAAAAATGCATGTAAAATCTTAGATTCAGCCTTCAACCATAGTGGGTTCGTGGTTTTTACCTAAAAAGCTCTTCTTACCCACTCAAAATATATTCTAATAAAATCTTACGTACATTTGAATGTAATGGACAAAAACGTATTTTCCTCGGCCGACACTAATACTTTTTAAGAGTGTTTTTAAAGTTTTTTGAAGTTTCTTATGTTATCAGCACACTTTTATTGCTACAGATCAACTCAATGGATTTTCGACTTCATCTGCAGGTAAGTATGGATGTTTTATTTTGAACGGTAAGTAAATTAGTTGACCTAATATATTTTTGGGTGTTTTTTAATGCACCTATACCCAAAAATTGCCCTTGACTTGACACATTTGAGTATATGTTTTTTTAAATGTGTGCTTTCTCAGCTCATGATAATATCTTTGTTTTTAGCTCAGGATTGGTTCCTGCATGTGATCCAACACTTATCTGATCCCATCGTTACTCCGTATAAAATTTCTCTCGTAACCGAAGATTTAAAGAAATAAAGGATCAATTAAAGGCAAAAACAGAACGAAACTTCAACGCGCAGTGCGTGTTTTTTATTCCTGCCTTTCTTTTTTTTGTGATTTAAAGGTCCTGAAGAGTCGTTACTCTCCGTTCAAGAGCATTGAAAAAGTCCGGGAAATTTGATCCCATCGGAAAATCTGAAACAGAAACCCCGGCGAACCGTGAAAGCGTTTGAGCCGTGGAATTCGGGGTAGATTATAGTATTCAGAGCTCAGGAGTCTTTGCTGAAATGCGAGTTTTAAATCACAACTGGACATATACCCGCCAACCGGGACTTTCTGCATTACGGTATGAGCCTTGCGACTGCTAAGAATATATGCATAGCAGGGCTAACGTCTTAATGCATGTAGTTCCGTTCGGCAGAAATACGTCCAACAATTCTCGACGAAATAGCATCCATGCAATTCTGAGAATTCAACCATTCGTATAAATCTTACAATCTGTGATCTCTCTAAGATCCGGGTAACAATGTAACATGACCACCCGAAGAGCTCAGCCCAGAGTCTTTGCAAAGACGTTTAATCGTGCGCCGCGCCGCGCCGGTGAGGTTTAGAACTGAACTAATTTAATGAACGTAAAATTGCAGTCACCGCGTTTGAAGGGGATTTTTACTTGCCGTACCAGTCACCTGCGTTTACCTTTTGATACTGTGATTGGGGATGTTGGATCTTGGATCTTACTGATAGCTCTGCTGTCGTTGCTGGGTTTTTTTTTTCTTTTTTTGCAAAATCATTTTTCAATATTTTTACGCATTAACAGTATTATCATTTTATGGATACAGTTCAAAAAACTTCTAATGATTTTGCTGAAAGAAATGGAGATTTACATGGAAATGTTTTTATTTGTACACAATGATCTTTTTTCATTATATGTAACCGCTATGTTCTACTTTTTCCATGAAATTAGTTTTTTAATACTACAAAAAAAACCAATCCATTATTTTGAGATTCGCGCTCACCTACTTTTTGGCTAGTTTTAGAAGGGTTTTAAACTTGAGGTGAATAGTTTTGATCTTCCCATTGGTACAATTTTGAAGATATTTCTTAAGGGACGCTCATTTAAACAATTAATAAATAAATAAGGGGAAAATAACTTCTGACAAGATAGCTTTTAAATATAAATTTGCTCTTCAAAATTATGTAAAACATTGTCTCTCTGGTCATAAAATTTCAATTTCATCTTTTGAGTATTATTTAAGGTCTCGGTGTCTTTTTTTCTGACAAAGTTGGCAAAAATTACGAGGGAGCTTCGGACTTTGGTTTTTGGTTTTAGGTTTTTTTTTTTTTGTTTTTTTTGTTTTTTTTTTTACCTACGCACAAGCTATCTATACCACAAACATATTTAGACAAATAGAAACTGTCTTTAAAAAACATTTTTTTATAACTAGTATCTTCTCATTTATTACTAAAAACTTATTTCTATGAAGTTTTTGTCTAGAACCAACTTAAGATTAACTAATTTTAGACCCTTATTTCGCTATCATCATCAAAACGCGGATAATGGTGAGTTAATATCCTTTGAAATTATCCAAGAGATTTTTCGAATTCTCTCAATAACTACATAAGTTTGATTTCAGGATAATCTCATTATCATTGCATTTTTTCCAAGTCCAAAAATTGTTGTCGATATTTTCTCCATGTGACCAAATACACTCATGGAAAAATTGGCACTGATTTAAAATAGTTTTCAGGATGCTGAAGGAACTCAGCGAAAACTCTTTCTGTTTTAGTAGAAAAATTGCAAATATCTTCGCAAAAATCGGCAATGC